ATCAACCCTGATGTAGATCCTCAGGTATGCATACTTAAACCACGATGTGTCAATGTTCATGAATCATGGCAGTGAGGAAATTAGAAATATGAGATGTTTGATATGCTTTTTAGAAAAATTAGGACATAAATCTTTAACTGAAAGTCATTATTTGATATTGTGACGCTTGAGCTAAAATTATATGAATGAGAACTTAGGAAGGTTCTTGATGCATAACTCGAGAATCACGTTTCCTGAATATTTCAAGATATAGAATGTGTTTGATGCGTAATATGGTTCATGGTGAGATAATTTTTTAATAATTAACAAGGAATTTGATAAGAATCAGAATTCCTATTGAGTTATATTTGATACCAGTTCATAATAGTTTTTCCATGTTAACTTTATAGAATGATTAATATCATCTGTACTTTAAGTTTTGTTCTTAATTATGTAGCTAACCAGCAGTGTTCTTGCCATGACTGCATACTTTTAGTTTCATAATAATGCTACATCCATTATGGCAAGTTTGATATTTTCCCTAGTCCCACATAGTTCTGTGGCTGTGAAGAGTGTTTTCCAACTACCAGGGGAGCAGTACCCATGCTACGTAGCTTTGGCAATGAAAACTGTTTATGATGTTACACGGAGGCTGACATGAAAAACCTAAAACTTTGGACCATGAGCACCACATATGCACTTCTATTTTTGTAGAAAGTGAATTCAATTTTACCAATGGTAGTGCTTCAGATAGTTACACTTATTTGAATGTGATGCCCTTTTATATTTCTTAGAAACAAATGTAGACAGATGCTTGGTATGGGCCATGCTGGACAGATCGTACCCAAATCACCATGACTCACCAGTTCCTCCAACTTCAATTGCAGATTTAGGCTAGTGTTTGAATATTTTTGTAAAGGCACATCCTTTGAATATTATTGTAAAGTTCTCTGTACTGAGCATTTGAACTTTAAATTGATCTTAATTCATTTATGTTCTGTTTTAATGTGTTGTTTTCATAGGTTCATGCTTACGTTGCCACTGGGAACAAGAATTCCAAATTTGGTATTAGAAATGAGAAGCTGCAATGGTTTTTGGATGCTGTGAAGGCACACCCTGATGAGCTAAAACTTGTTGGGGCCCATTGTCATCTTGGATCCACCATTACCAAGGTATGCTGATGACTTGTGCATATGCTTTTATGTTATCAATATAATTTTTCAACTAGGATAAATTTTTCAAACCCATGTTTGTTTCTGGTCATTCTAGAACACATTAAGAAGAAACATAAATCAATTGGTTTATGCTTCATAATGCAGAGTTACAGCTTTAAATAAAGAACCTTTTTGTGAATAAAGGTTTAATTTGTCCAATTCAAATTCAGCTGGTAAGTGTTGGTTGGAAGGCATTATAAGCTGCCCTTCTCTTTCGCCTTCTTCTGTTCAGGCTGGTTGACTTTATGATTCTTCGTTTTTTTTTTGCTATGCTATTTTAGTATATGTGGATTTCTTGTTAATATTCTGTGACAGACTACACCCACTTCTCAGATTACAAAGTCTAAGTATCTCTCTCTCTCTCTCTCTCTCCCCCCTGTCTCTCTCTCTCCCTCTCTCTCTTCCCCCCTCCCTTTTGTATTACCAGGTGGATATATTCCGGGATGCTGCTGTTCTTATGGTTAAGTACATCGATGAAATCCGGTCTCAAGGTTTTCAAGTTGATTACTTGAACATCGGTGGTGGACTTGGGATAGATTATTATCATTCTGGTGCCATACTTCCGAAACCCAGAGATCTAATCAACACTGTGAGTTTGATCTCTTTTGAATCTTGTTTTCTATCTTTTTTTTGAGAAGAATCTTGTTTTCTATCTTAGGTATGCAATTCCTGCGTACATGAGTGATGGGATAACACCTTAATGTAGTATTATAAAAAAGGAAGTTATTAATGCTGCAGTACGCACATGCATGTTACGGTGCTCCTTGAAATCTCAAGTGTAGACTACTGGCTTTTTCCTATCCTTTGGATCTCACAGATGTTAAATGTGATGTGTTTAGAATGAGTCTTTAGAATGTTGAGTCCATGTATGACCATTGCATCTACATTTATTACAAGAATGTATAGCCTCTTTATGGAGTTGGTTCATGAAGATCATGTAAGTGCTATAAGGGATTAAGTTGCCCATACCATTCTGCGAGCTTTTTGTTCCCAAATAATCAATAAGCATACCATATATGCCAGGTCTAGTATTGACTATTTTTTCCTGAAACACTTAAGACTTTCTTCAGGGATTTTCCTAGGGCTTGCTCCCTTATGGTTATTCTACTGAAGAGAATCAAAAGTTTTTTCTATCTTGATTGATGTGAACTTTCACTAACATTTATTCAATGTTGATGTTGAGGGTGTAGGTTCGTGGCGTGGTCCTATCACGAGGTCTAAATCTTATCATTGAACCTGGTAGATCACTTATTGCAAACACCTGCTGCTTGGTCAACCGAGTTACAGGTGTCAAAACAAATGGCACCAAAAACTTTATTGTGATTGATGGAAGCATGGCCGAACTTATTCGTCCCAGTCTCTATGATGCTTATCAAGTAAGTTTTCAAGTGTAGTCAACTGCTTGTCTTGCTTTTGATGTCAAAGTCATTAATGTTAACCGGAGATGATGAACAATTGAAATCCTTTCATTGTGCGAGAAAAATTTCAATGTAATCCATGGTGTAAACTCTTGGATCTTATTTTGTGTTTTGTATGTATGCAAGTAATTTTCTTATAGTGGCTTACTGTGTGCCCTTGTTACTTTGTTATGGAAACTTTTCTCAGCTTCATTCACTAAAAAATTACTGTTATCAGTTTTGTTTCTCTGTGTCTTATTGTGCTTCTGTTATACCATTTGGAATGCATCATTCTTGATTTACCTTTGATCAAATGTCGTGTATTTCAGTTGCCTTATCTCACACTCCTTTCCTTATTTGCTATAATGTTAGACTCAAATCATTGACTGTCGCATAATAATTAATCATGTCCTTCTTTTAAGACTTGCCATTTTGTTATTGGCTTGAAATCTCAGTTGACTTGTGGGAGTTTTCTTGCAGCATATAGAACTAGTTGCTCCTACACCACCTGATGCTGAGATTTCGACTTTCGATGTGGTGGGCCCTGTCTGTGAGTCTGCAGATTTTTTAGGGAAGGATAGAGAACTTCCAACGCCACCGAAGGTAATTGTAAACTTCTTATTGGAAGGTCAGAGCTATAATCATTTGTTGTCTTGTATAACTAGGAGATCAAACGACGATGATGTTCTCAGTTATTCTGTTCTGGAGGTTTTCTTTTTGGATTTTGGTGCTTGATTGCTGAACTAAAGTTGCCATTTCAGGGAGCTGGTCTGGTGGTTCACGACGCAGGCGCTTACTGCATGAGCATGGCTTCAACTTACAATCTTAAAATGCGTCCTCCAGAATATTGGGTGTGTGATTGTTACTGCAAACAATCCCTACGCCGTAACCCCAGTATCTATCCTCTTTTCCAGTAACTTGTTTCTAAGAGTTTTTACAATGTTTTCAGGTTCAAGAAGATGAGTCAGTGGCCAAGATCCGTCATGCAGAGACATTTGAAGACCACATGCGATTCTTTGAGGGTCTTTGATTGCGAGAGATTGGAAGTTAGTGCCAGCTAAAGAGGCCCGAATCTCCCCTTAATTCATGGTGGTTTGTTGTAACTCTGGAACTTTTGTATTGGGATACGAAGTTAGCTTTTATTGTGATTTTTACCTCCTTATTTTGTTGTTTACTAGTTCGACTGTAGCTATCATGAGAGGAAAAGGAACAAAAGATTGATAAGCAGTGAAGAGTTTTATGCAACTATTTGCAAACCTTTATCAACTGCACAATCAAAGTTATGGCATTTCCAGTTGCAGAGCCATTTGCATTACGGTATCGAAAACACGGATCGCTTGTTTCTTTAACAATTCTGAATCACCTTTTTTTCTTGAACAATTCTAAATTGAGTGCATCGTTTTTTATGAGCAATTCATGGTCTAAACAACGTCAGGTTACAAGAGAATTTCACCTTGTTTTCAGTTGAAGATTTGATACGCAACACCCAGTGCTATTGTTGTTTAAGTATGATATAGGTAGAAATTTTCTTTTGACTACGCTCGAATAAACAACGGACGCGTTATTGATTTTGAAACAATATTTTTTATAATGTACTGATAACATATTGGTATTTGTAAGTTTTGTTGAAAACAATGGCACATACATTATATAAGTGGAATAACACTTGTAAAAATTTCTCTCTGACTTGTAGATAATACATGGCTTGTTGACCGAGTTTCGGGCACATAGATAAAATCTCTCCTTGGGTACGGTTGCCTTGTAAATTCTTATATAACAGAATTTTATTGTTCTTTTCACTTTTTTCTTAGTTAGGAAGAATGTCACTATTATGTCACTTCTTACCCAATGGACTCTCGCCAACTTAGAGAAGCTTCTTTGACAATTATAGTCATGGTATAGTAGTGTGATGGCCTGTCAAATTCTTACATGAACATAATGCTTAGCGCGCGAAATTGATTAAATTTTATATCGAAGATTAAAGTTAAAATGATCTTTTATTATATTTTATTTGAAAAAAAAACCTTTTAATATCAATTGCTTGGCAATTCATTTAATGAAAATACATTCAGACAAGTAGTATTCATTTAATAACCTTTTAATATCAATGGTCTTAGTTTAGCTAAAAGTGACGTTTAATAACCTTCTCAATTTTCGAACATAGAATTGAATGAATTCAACGAAAATTAATGATAAAAAATTAATAAAGATGTGAAACGTAAAAATGGGGCTTTAGAATAGCACTATGTTGATAATATTGTTCTAGTTGGCATATCAGTGGAATTGTGGGCAGGGGCATTTAAGTAGGCCCACCCACCTTCCGCAAGCAGAGTCCTTGGCGGTACTCCGCGTCAACTGCCCTTTTGCATTTGGATTATACATGTCACTCAATCGCTGTTGATTCCAATTGTTTTCTTTTCTTTTCCTCTTTTTCTCCCCCCCCCTTCTCTACATTTTCGCCCTTTTTTCTCAGTCCCAGAGTTAAAAAAGAAAGAAGAAAGAAAAGGATTGAAAGCGAAGAAAGCGGTTTCAGCCTTATCCAATTCCCTCCCTCGCTCCTTCCGCTCTCAAACCCTAGATTGCCGCTGCTCTTGGCAGCTCCCCCACTCCAAGATTTTGCTCTTCGCGTTACGATCGGTCAGTTGCTTCTCGCATTCCATTCCAATCCATTCCATTTATTTATTTATTTATTTTATCTTTATTATATTACTTATTTAATTTAACTTGGTGTGATTTTGTTGTTTTTTTGTATGATCTATTATTTTATACTTAGATTTCTATTTTTTTTGTTTGCTTTACTTATTTTTTCTGTATTTTTTCCGTCATAGGGTTTAAACTGCTTGAAATTAGTGGCATTTGTGTTTTTATTGGACTAATTATTTGATTGGGTCTGATCATAATTTCTCTATTTTGTTTTCACATTTCCATGCAAGTTTTACCATCAGATTAATATGTCAAAATTGCAAATGTTCTGTTTTTTTTTATTTGTATTTTAATTAATAAATAAATTAGTTAATTTACAGTATAGCATTTAAATCCACTAAAATCTTAACTAAATGCTTCGCCTGAATTGCACTGATTGACGTCGAAGTGGGCGGTAGCAGCGGTAACTGTGTTGTATAACCCTTACGCTTCTGTTAATGGTTTATATATTGATTTATAGATAATCGAAATATTGAATTTGGCGGGTTTTGATGTAGATGCCCCAATTGTTTGAAATTCGATAATTACGAATACAATGTACCCAATTATCTTATGCACTTTCTCTGATCTCTTTTGCTGTGTTGTTTTCTCGTTCGATTGCTATATGCTCGTGTCTGCACTTTTGTATTTAGTTTTATTTTGTTATTCGTAACATATTTATGCTACATTGTAGGGTTTACTGCACTTCCGGAATAATTGGCTGTGCGGCTCTCATTTTGGCCAGTTTCGGACTATGGGTTCAACTATGGCTGGTGAATTGTTGGTGAGTGCAAATGGAAATGGTAACGCCCAACCCAATCCACAGAGGACGTACCAAGTTGTTGTGGCTGCGACTCGAGAAATGGGTATTGGAAAGGATGGGAAACTACCTTGGAGACTGCCGTCTGATCTCAAGTTCTTTAAGGACATCACTGTGACCACGTCAGATCCTGCGAAAAAGAATGCAATTATAATGGGTAGGAAAACATGGGAGAGCATTCTACCTGAGCATCAACCTCTACCTGGCCGCCTTAATGTTGTTCTGACTCGTTCCGGGAGTTTTGATATTGCTACTGCAGAGAATGTTGTGATATGCGGAAGCATGGCATCTGCTTTGGAATTGTTAGCTGCTTCTCCTTACTGTCTGTCAATTGAGAAAGTGTTTCTCATTGGAGGTGGCCAGATATTAAGGTGTGACATTCTTGTTAATTTCAATATTTTAAACCATGTTTCTTTATTTTTCTTTTCTTTTTATTAAAATTTCTGTATCCAGGGAAGCTCTCAATGCGTCTGGCTGTGAAGCCATTCACATTACAGAAATAGAGACAAACATTGAATGTGACACTTTTATCCCTGCAATTGATTCCTCTGTATTTCAGCCGTGGTATTCATCCTTTCCTAAGGTTGAAAATGGCATTCGTCATTCTTTCACAACTTATGTTCGTGTAAGAAATTCTGCAGTTGAATCCCTTTGTGAAAACAATGATCTGAACTCTAATATTAAGTCAGACTCTGTGAAGTGTGAGGTGAAGAATTTTTCTTATCTGCCGAAGATGATTTTTGAGAAACATGAGGAGCACATGTATCTAAGGTTGGTTCGAGAAATACTCTCTGATGGCACTGCTAAGGATGACAGGACAGGGACTGGTACTTTGTCAAAATTCGGTTGCCAGGTAATCTTAAATTAAGATTTTTAAGAAAGTCCTGTTATCCTTCATTTAACAGTCGATTGATTAAAATGGATAATTGATGTTTACTCATTTACTTTGTATCTCTACAGATGCGGTTTAATCTGCGAAGAACTTTTCCCCTTCTGACAACTAAGGCATGCATATTCTCCCTTTTCAGATTTCTGTTTTTCTCTCAACCTACTCTGTGCCACTAAGTTTGTTCTTCCACGCAAGTGTTGCTTCAAATTTATTAGATTCCATTTTACTCTCTTGGCATGAGGTTAGATTATTAGGTACTTGATTCTCTATCCTTTTCAAACTGACATACATTGTGACAATTTGGTCCGTAGAAAGTATTTTGGCGAGGGGTTGTTGAAGAACTTCTGTGGTTCATTAGTGGTTCAACAAATGCCAAGGTATTACGATTTCGTTGAACCTTTTCCTTTTGAATGCTAGGTATATTTTTCCTTGTTTCTTTGTCTTTACATCATATGGGACTACAGCTGAGCGAGTTGATTTTTCTAGCTTATTAAAAATTTGTCCAAAAGGTCATGGGTTCGATTCGTGGAAACAGCCTCTTTGGAAAGCAAGGGTAAGGTTGCATATGATAGATGTTCCCCCCGACCCTCGCAAAGCGGGGAGCCTTGTTGGCTTGGGGTCCCCCTTTATTAAAAAGTTGATTTCTGTACGAAGTCGAGCATTTTGAAATTTGTGTTTGTGGTTTCTCCACAGTATATTTAAAACAAAAAGATGACTCATCTCGATGCTTTCAGGACTGTGGCTTTGAAAATGTTTATAATTTTATGAATTTACAGCAGTTGAAAGGGACCATTTGAAGCTTCTTGCATTTAAATTATGTTCTCATAAGTTACATTTTAATTTTCGCTTCCACGAGTATGGGACCATGCTCAACTTTCTAGTTTGTAAAAAGCAAGATTTTCAACAAAAATGCCATTGATTTCCTCATCCCACAGAGAAGTTTGATGCAAGAAAGCAGATTCTTCCGTCTATATATAATACTTATATTTTAGTCTTTGACTACTTGGCAGGTCCTTCAGGAGAAAGGCATTCACATATGGGATGGGAATGCATCTAGAGATTACCTTGACAGGCAAGTATTAGACTGCCCAAATGTGTGTGAGGACTTCTAAGTGTTATGCAGTTTTAAGTGATTTTTGTATCTGCCACTTCAGTGTTGGTTTAACTGACAAGGAAGAGGGCGACTTGGGACCAGTATATGGATTCCAGTGGCGACACTTTGGTGCCAGGTTGGTAAACTTCTGTATAGTTAAGCTTCTAGATATTTAATTTATGTAATGAAGTCTAGTTTCAAACTCACTTATTTCTGTTCCATGTTACAGGTATACTGACATGCATGCTGACTACACGGGTCAAGGATTTGATCAGTTGCTAGATGTTACTGACAAGATTAAAAACAATCCGGATGATCGGCGGATTATACTCTCAGCATGGAATCCTTCTGATCTCAAATCGATGGCACTCCCACCTTGTCACATGTTTGCTCAGGTTTATCTTGAGACGTTATAACTTTTATTTCATTATCACATCTCGTTTGTTTTACTACATCCTTCTTTCTCCTTGCAGTTCTATGTAGCCAATGGAGAGTTATCATGTCAAATGTATCAGCGTTCTGCTGACATCGGCCTTGGCATTCCATTTAACATAGCATCATATGCTCTTCTGACATGCATGATTGCTCATGTTTGTGGTATGCATTCTAAATAGTACTCTTTTAGCTGGCACCTCTTTCTCCATTGCTACCTGATGGATTTAAGAACTTACATCTGATGTTGCGTCTTTAGAGTCCTTAATAGACTTTTATCTTGTGCAGATCTTGTTCCTGGTGATTTCATTCATGTCTTAGGGGATGCTCATGTTTACCGCACTCACATCAGGCCTTTGCAGGAGCAGCTTGAAAAACTGCCCAAGCCTTTTCCAGTAAGTTTAATAACGTTACATACATGATCTTGTTTTTGGTCTTTGAAAGTGTACTTTACTTAATTTGTCTCTCTCTCTCTCTATCGCATTTCTCTGTTATATACGTTGTTTATTTACAGCTGCCTACCTATATTTCAATGCAGATTTTGAAGATCAATCCTGAGAAAAAGAATATAGATTCTTTTGCGGCTGCTGATTTCCAACTGATAGGTTATGATCCTCATCAGAAGATAGAAATGAAAATGGCCGTATAGGGCTTTCAAATTTTCAGTAGAGAGCTCAGAGACTAGTCTTTTTATCTATGCGATGCTGCTGTTAGTTTTGAAGGCAAGTGACACTTTCTTTCTTTGCACTGACGCATCTTTTGTTCTCTAACTCTGCCTATACCCTGATATTACCTTGCCAATTCAAATGAGTTTACATAGCATGCGGTTGGGATTGTAAGTTTGAACCAACTTAAGTTGTACAATTTGATTATCTTGTTCCTTAAATTAGACATTATGCGAGACTGAAGCTTTTTTGCGTGTTTCAGGTGCAGGATTTGATGGTTGATGTTGATGTTGATGTAGAGTTTCAATACAGATGAAAAACTGGTAGTAGGATATACTTGAAGCTTTGCATTTGTAGTAATCGGGAATCCCTTAGTTCCACATACACTCGGACTCGGGTGGTTCTAAGGTGATTTAGGATAGTTTTGTGTTTTGATTCCTCTGATTTTTGAGCATGCTTCGGTACTTTGTCACCTGGATGGAGCCTCATCACTTTGCTTTCTTAATTACTATGTTGTACTTCTATAATTAAATGGAGTTGGATCACATGATTTATCTTGGCTTGGTATATGTGGTGGATTATGTTCCACGAGCTTAGGCTTGTTATGTTTGATAGGCAAGAAACAGTTATTTTGACTTATTGGCAATGTCCAGGCTCTCTACTTGCTTGGATGGGATTTGCTTGGAAGTCAGCATTCTCTTCATATGTTTCCAACTTTACAGGAAAACTGAAACCACAAAAACGAACTCTTGACCTAACTTGATCCTAACCATTTTTCCATCCTGTTGGAACCAAATTAGCGCACATCTATGGATGGAAGTGAAATCCAGTCGGACTAGCCCATGATCTTCTATGAGGGGAGAGGGGTTGAATCCAAGAAAGGGTGCCTACATTTCTCCGGGAAAGATAATCAAACCACCAATATAGTTATAAGAAAGAATGGAGTAAATCATTCCTGACGAATAGCCTATGACTGGGCGTTGGGAGATGAGTTCTCCATGAATGTGTTTACACTTAGACGGCGGCATAAGGACTTGTGTTAAGCATAGAGAAAATGAGTTTGTAGCAGTTTGAGAAAGAGTGATAGATCTAGAGCAATGTGGATGTATATGGTAGTTTTGTAGAGAATAAAGAGGTCGTCGTAGAGAGATAGATTTGAGAAAGAGAGGGATCTTGAGAGTTCTTGTAGGGAAAGTAATCTTCATCAAATCAGGAGACTATATAGGAGGAAATCTAGCATATGATGCTCAATCTTCCTAGAATCATGATTATATTTGCCTAATCTCAAAGATATCATAATTTGACTTTAACTAGGGTTTCCTTTCTTGGGAAACAAGTAATATCTTTAATAGGGCTAAGCCTATGGGCTACGCTCCATGGGCTTCAGGCATTTTGATCATTCTCTCCACATGTCATGGGCCTATAAAATCATGATCCCACAATTGCCCTTAACTATGTTTCTAAGAATGGGCTTTACTTCGAAGATGGATAGTTACCAACTGACCATGAGTAAATCATCCTTAAATAACTTCTTCGGAATGTGCGTTAGAATGACATTTGAACTTCTTGTTGATTCGGAGCCAACCAAGTATGGCCAGTTCTACTCGCTTGTCTCTTAATGGTTTGATCTTTTAGATTTCCGAACCATATTGTAAACCCCTAGTCAAAGTTCTAGATGCATAGCTGAAACATTGGATGCGAAGCGTGTTGATGCACAAAATCAATAAGGACTTTGGTACAACAGAAAGTGTTAAGTTTGAGACCTTCGTTAGATTCTTTCAGTCACTAGTGTGGATAAATATGTAAATGGACAGAAACAGGGAAGCAAACACAAGATGTACGTGATTCACCCAGATTGGTTATGTCGACGGAGTAGAGGAGTTCTCATTAATTGTGAAGGGTTTACACAAGTACATAGGTTCAAGCTATCCTTTAGTGAGTTCTAGTGAATGATTCAGTATAAATGACATTAGGAAATATTGTGGGAGAATGATCTCATTTTATAGAAGGGAGTCTCTAGCTTTATTCTATCTTTGACACGTGTCGTGCTGTGATTGGCCTCTAATGTTGACACGTGTTGCGCTATGATTGGCCTTCTGGTTGAAAGGAAACTCTTGTGGGTTGTTGATGGTATAACATTGACCGGTGCTCAGTAGTTTTGGGATTGGTCAAGTATGGTACAAACAGTGCTCCCCTAAGTTCTCAAGTGAGGGAAGTTCCTCGGTTGGGGACTTGCAAGATCCAAGCCATTGAGTAATCACAAAACTTCTAAGTACCGAAGTGTGGTATCATTTTCACTTGCCTCTGCCTTATAGGTAGAAATGGCATCTTTTATGGGGGTATTTGTCCTCCATCCAGGAGTGGTATCTTTAGTCGATGTTGATGCACAAGGTAATGTATCATTTTCATTTGAAACTTTTGTAGTTTCAGGCTTGGTCAAGTGTGATACAAACCTTATAGTAGGAGTCCTCCAAGTCTCTGAGCGAGGAGATCTGCTGAAAGAGGTGACAGACAAGGTAATCAGAGTTCCAAGCAATCAGTCTCAGATTGGAAGTTTTATCTCGGGTTCTGGCTGATTGTTCTTCTTTTCCTTGTCTTGCAGATCGCAACAAGGACAAAGAAAAGGACATGGAGAAGAGATGATATGAGATACTCTTGCTTTTGAAGAAGTATCGGATGAATCGGCACGTGTTTTGTTATACTTGTTGACTTTCCACAAGTTTTCTCTTGAACTGGGCTAGAGGGTTTTCTGATTTCCTCCAAAGGAGCGAGTCGACTCAAGAATTTAAGGGTAAAAACAAGTCCGTCAAATCTAGAGTACGTTCGACTCCTGATGATATGGGATACTTTTGCTGTTGACAAAGTAGTGGATGTGGTAGGGTGAGGCTTTGCTCTTTGGCGATAGTGCTAGCAAAAGGTTGTTGAAGCTTCTCGAGCTCTTCAGATAGGGCAGCGATGCCGAGCTTAGATTTGACTTAGACTTCTCCGTCTGGATTGTGCGGTTCTGCAAGAAGGGTGTCATGCTGTAGTGATATGTTCTAGTGTTGGAAGTATGCCCACAAAGCCACTCATTTGATGTAATAGCTTTTGGAATACTTATTGTATTAAACTTTTATATGTTTAATGAAGGGCAAAACTTGTTGTTAATCACTATTTATTGTATCATGTGTTTAAGCAATAAGAGAATCCAAGGAATGTATTTGATCTAAGAGACAAGTGATTTAAGTAAGTTAGATTAACGAGACCTTTCTCTTATGTTCATTCCTAAAATGTTCCTAGCCATATGATTGCCAATTGGGCATTGACAATCCGCTAAGGTTAGTATGTGTTATGTCGACTCAAGCGTGAGTATGACTAGTCTCAAGTTAATTAGTGTTGGACACTAAGACAAACACATAGGTGCTCGAAAGAGTAATCGAGTACACTGAATCACGATCAAAAGAGAGTTCGAACATACATGTCCTGTAAGAACTCGATAGTTGCAATATGCAAAGTAGTCCTTTGACCTGAGGCATCATAGATGTCTAATGGTTAGGTCCTTGACCTTTGATCATGTCAAAGGCATTCCATTGGAGTGTCCACGGCATTGTTGGGGTCAAGCTATCTAGTCATGTAGGCATATGAATGCACAACAAGGGATCTCTAGCCTTCCATGGTGGAAGGAGAATACTCTAAGATATGATTCGAGAGTCTTTGGCCAAAGCATATGAATATGACTTAGGAAGTTTGTTCCAAATCATATTCAATTGAATCATATAGAGAAGTATCACATTGGATAGTAGACATGAAACAAACTATCACTTAAACAATGTGATTAAGAGTATTGTATTAGAGAAGGACCGTATTGCATTGTAGTTGTAACTGGATAGGTTCTCCAACCAATTCTACTTAGCTTGGGAAACCATGACATGCTGCTAGGTGTCACTCATGGTTTGTGGAAGCCCTGATGATTAGCAAACACTAATTTTAAGGGAGAATTGAAATGTGGTTTCAATTCACAATCGATCGTTAAGAGTAACAATCGCCCACTACCTCGCTAAATGGAACCTAATGGATCGTACACCGAGTAAGGATGAAAGTGAAGAAATTAAATGAAATGGATATGCAATTAAATGGTTTAATTGAAGAATGGTCAAGATTAATTAATTAGTTAATTAATTTTACGAAAGGTTCGTATTGGGCTTTTAAGTTGGTTTTGGGTTTCGGGGCCCAAAAGTGTTTTGGTCCATAAGGCCCATTATGTTTAAGTTGTATGACAACTAAAAAAAAATGGGCAATAAGCCCAATCACAACAAATAGGCCGGCCATGGTGAGGAGAGGGTGAAGGTTTGCTTAATTGCAAGTTTGCCACTCACCTAAGAAAAGTGTTATAAAAGCAACTTTATAACTATTTTTCTCATTAGGGTTTTTTTTTTCTTGTAGAAAAGAGGTGAAACCTATTCTCTCTTTTTAACAAGGAGGCCGGCCACTTAGAGGAGATTTATCTAGCAATATTTTCTTCTCTAAGTCATCCATTTCATCTTCACACTACATCTTTGGTGTGGAGACTTAAAGACATCAAGCTTTTGGTGTTTTGGTGATTCTATCCTCAAATCCTCAAAGGAAGATCCAAGGAGCAAGGAGGTGACTTGAAGGCCCTCCACTTGGGTGAATCCCTTGTGTAATCAAGGATGAGCTTCAAGGGTAAAGAATCTCTAAATCGTTTCTTCTCTTTAAGTTTGTTAAAGAGTTTATTGGTTCACCATATACTAGGCTTTGAAAGTCATGGGTTTTATGAATTGTTTTTTAATGCATGCCTACTTTAATGTGTTAATAGTTTGCATATGTATTCAAATGTTCTTACTTGTTCTTAGCTAGGACAAAATTTTTCCTTCATCTAGCTCATCGTTGAACCTTTTGCTTCAATATTTTACATCGTAGAAGGGGTGCGCAACCTTTGTATTTAAATGGTCCTTTAGAGCACTACTCCTCAGCGACTCATCGATGCTTGGCAGCTTCAGTGTAAAGCGTCAATATCATATCAACTGTATTGAGGTATTTACCGAAGGAATTCGTGACCTTGACAACAGTTGAGGATGAGTACTTGAGAGCAATGCTAGGTAAGCAACCAGGCAAAGGTTATGGGCAATCAGTTCCAGATCGGAAGTTTGATTTCAAGTTCCGACTGATTGCTTTCTTTCTCCTTGTCTTGCAGGTAAGAACAAGGGCAAAGGAAAAGACATGGAAAAAACATGATATGAGATACTCTTGCTCTGATGTGGATGGTTTGCAAAGGTATTATCGGGGGAGAAGGAAGCTGAGTATTTCGAGAGGCTTCGCGGTAAGTGCCCTATTGGGTGTGAAGGAGGGTTAAGCATTTTTGCAGGTCTGCCTAGCCGTGAAGGATGGAGGTCGACATATATATGAATTTCCCCAACAACAAGTAGTAATGCTGTTCCTTTACCCTTCTTGGTCATAGTAATGTAGTGGGAACTGCAATATTCATGTGTTTTAACTTTGTCAGAGCACTTTGAAAAAGTGGTCTGTGGTATTCGAAAAGCTGATGTTGCGTGTGGAGATTGCAGATAAGTTTTATCCAAAGAAATCTGGATCTCGAAGTTCGGAGAGGGGTGCCTCTTCATTTTTTAAGCAAGAAGATA